TATACTAAGCAACTGATTCATATGTTATATATATCACTATCCAGTATACTAAGCAACTGATTCATATGTTATATATATCACTATCCAGTATACTAAGCAACTGATTCATGTGTTATATATATCAATATCCAGTATACCAAGCAATTGCAATATATGGTATATATATCACTGTCCAGTATGCTAAGCAACTGACTCGTATGTTATATATATATATCACAACTTGTATGTAACACCTGTAGGATGAGCTCAAATAGTGGGGAATCCTTTGTCTCCATATAAAGTGGAACTGCGCATTCCATAAGCTAGATAATTGGTACGTATAATATACATCGCTGTGTACCTGTAACATAATTAGGATGTATTTGGTGTTCTAGGAGGTTTATAGAAGAGTTTCAGTAGCCGCGTCAACTTAAATAATTTACTAAATTTATATGTCGAATGCCAATGCTCATACAACATATGTATAGATCAAACTGTTTTTGCGGTACTTGATCACAATATAGATAAAATATATTTCATTTCTATAGGAGGTTCCGTATATGTTACTAGAAGACGGTCCAAATAATGCCACTAGAGCAGCTGGTGGTTGTGAGTATCAACTATTAGAAGCTTTAGCAGGATACTTCAGTTTTACGTATGTATTATTCCTTTTTGTTCTAAACATTGCAATCCCTCCTTAATATAGTCTAAGTAATTTCTATGTAGCATACTTGATTAACGTTATCATTATTTGATATTACAATGTATTGTTCCTAAGAAGTTATCATTAACTTTTAACAGGTATACTTTAACAAAACCAGTTGATGACGAATTTGGAGATGTAGGAGCTCATGGTAAATGGACGGGAATGATAGGATACCTGCAAGACGAGGTACTTTTTTATATTATTGTTCTCTATGTTTTATATTTAAGCAGTGCACTAGTTCGCTGCTTCTCTCTTCTGTTTCTGTTTCTTTTCTGATGCTCATCTTTTCTACATTAGGTTTTGTTACAGTAAACTTTTCTCTAATAATGATGGGTGAATACAGAATACCATGTAATGCAATTTCAATAAAGCTTAAAACTACACTAACGGAACAATACCAAATTTATATGGATGATATTAGTTTCGACATCTCACATGTCCTCTTCAGACCAACTTTTTAGTGTGTGGAAGAAACGCGCACGTTGCTTATTTTATAACGGAAGTTCCAATTCCTTGAATGGGATATATGACGTCAGAAAGAGATTCAACTTAAAATGATTCAGACTTGTTAAAATTTGGGTTAACGAACTTTCCAGAATTCTTCTTCTGACATAATTTGTATTTCCGTATATTAGCTTGGCTGATTCCAAGATTACTTTATGATCAACTTCTCTTATATGTGGAAAAATAGTTATTTGTTTGACCATTTTTACCATTCTTTTTGTTTTCCGCGAGTTAGTTATAAGTTCAATGTTTTTAAGAGCTTAAAGAATTTGTCATCACATGACCCTTAATGACGAAATTTAAAATAGTTATATAACTGTAGGCTTTGTCAAAAATACTCATGAAAAGGCAAGAAAGACATTCTTTAGAAACAGTAACCAGCAAACATCAACATCTCCACGTGAAAATGAAATACTTAGCGTTAACTACAATTCTAATATTCTGCCTTTAAAGGGATGCCTGAAAATTAACAATTTCAAAGTTACTTATAAATATCCCAATACCATTAAAAATTTCTTATCATCAAAAAAGCCTGCACCTCAAGATAAAGAACATGATGACGATATAGTCTCCTACCAAGTCTGCGAAAAGGTTTATGTTTCTGAAACAAGTAGATATTAAATACCAGACAAGTGAAATGTCGAAACTAGTATCCACATAAATTTGGTATTGTTCTGTTAGCGTGGATTTAAACTTTTCTTTAATAAACTCACATTTCTACTAATTCTCTCTAGCATTCACAGTCACTGTTTTACGAATATTCACGTTCTTTGTTTTGTCTCCTCTGATCCTTACAAAATTCACATTCTTTGTTCCCTACTATTCACACTAGTTTCTTTCTTTGACATGCACATTCACTGTTTCTTTCGTATACACATTTATTGTTTCTGAAGCAATCACACTCATTGTTTCTCCGTTATTCATAATATCGTTTCTCCAATTTCCATGTTATTTTTTTTCAATATTCACAGTCATTCTTTTTTTATCATTCACTGTCACAACATTCTAGCTAAGACTACGTATATATATTCTATAGTTTCTTTAGCCTCCTAAGCTGCTGAAAATGGTTTCCCGCGAGTGATTTAAGGCATTGTTTGACCAAAACAAACGGCATTACGTATGGAACGTCTCTGACTGTACTTTATCGAAGCACAACGAATGAATCTCTGACTGTACTTTATCGAAGCACAACGAATGAATCTCTGACTGTACTTTATCGAAGCACAACGAATGAATCTCTGACTGTACTTTATCGAAGCACAACGAATGAATCTCTGACTGTACTTTATCGAAGCACAACGAATGAATCTCTGACTGTACTTTATCGAAGCACAACGAATGAATCTCTGACTGTACTTTATCGAAGCACAACGAATGAATCTCTGACTGTACTTTATCGAAGCACAACGAATGAATTTGCACTAGCATCCATTGCTATCTGGTGGATATTGTTTATAATGGTGAACTACATACAAGTTTTAAAAAATAACAGTTTTAGAAAATGTAAAATTTTAAAATGTAAAGTGTACCCTGGAATATCAACATTGCGTTAATTATGGTCGCTAATCATCTGTCGCTGAAGAAGTTGTTTCAATGTCAATAAAACCATATTGCTTCTTTTATCCACTATTCTAGCTTTTGATTTGAAAAGTTTAGTTGTAGCAGCTGTTACGTATTACAATCTCGAATAGTCTAAAACCGAGCTAAATGATAATTTTAATTTAGTAGCTAAATAAATGCCGATATATATCTCCAATATGTGATATTTGGCAACAAGATTGTTACACACAGTTTCTTTTTTAATACAAATATGTTTTAATATGTAAACAACAATACAATTTACAATAACAGTTATTACAAACAATGACTTATATACAAAAGTTTTACAAACTTACAAGCAATATAAAGTCTTCTTTTTAGTCTGGAACTTCCTTGATGTCTTATCGAAGGTTCACGATGAACAAGATAATTTCGAGTTGATGTAGGTACAATTCACTTAATAGGAAGTTAGCTAGCTCTGTGAAATTCACTGATCACACGCTGATTTTTCCTACCGGTGACGTTAGGTAATGTTTTTTGTAAAAGTACTAATGTCCGATGAGAATCCAATGAAGTTGAATGATTTTTAATGTTCGAAATTTATAAGCATTCCTGATCAATATATCTTAAGTTCCCGATTAATAAGCGTTAATGAGGGTTATAGCTTACGAACTTTATAGCACACCAATTACAACAACCCAATAATTGATACTCTTTTTAGGTGCGTCGCGTTGGTTATATTTATAGACGTGTGGAGAGTTTCTCGAAAATTCAGATTACGTAACAATACAAAACTACCCTAGCGTTTATGTACACACACATATATATATATTCTTGATTCTTACATTCGAGAATCTTCTACAACTTTAGAGAATAGAGAAGAATTCCGCAATACATATTTAATAGTATACGTTGTGTACATTTCTAAATATAAATTTAATTTAAACAGACATCGATATTAAAATAAATGTATAATAATAAATCCGTCACACAGCTAATACCGACTGCTATTTCATACACCTATTTAATTTTCTCATAGAAGTAATTCTGGGGTATATTGACGTAGTTGTATTGAGAACCTGTGTATATGTATTGGTGTGATTCAAGTCACGAATAAGTATTTTGATGTGTATTTGTTTGTTGTTGATTTTTCTTGTTGCTGTTTTTTCCTTCACTGTTAAGCATAAAGCTACACAATGGGCTATCTGTACTGTGCTCACCACGAATACAGAAACCCGTTTTTTAGCGCTACAAGTCTTCTGACTTACCGCTGAGACACTAGCGGGCGTGTGTGCAAGTAAAAAGTCGCCTGTTTTTATAATTGGAGTTTAGAAGAAAACACAGCATTACAATATTTTATACAACATTTGTATTCTGTGACAAAGGAAATCTAATACACATTTATACTACTCAGGATTTGACAAAAATATATTTGAATGTTTCGCCTGATTTTTCAATCTAATACACATCATAAACCGCATGTCTGCGGACTTACAACGCTAGAAACATATAGTATCGTGCTTAACCTCAAACAAACATATCATAATATCAGGAAATAAACATATTTATTGAGTAGACTAACTTGCTTACTTTTATTCTTATTCATAAGATGTGTTAAATGTGCTCGAAAACGAACTACTAGACTTTATTATTTTGCTTTTATTTCTAGCATTGCCTTTTCAGATGACGACACATAATAACATAAGAAGACTAAGATCTAATACCTTGTATTTAATAATATTCATCTTGGTGAAATACGTTAAATAAAACCGAAAACGGCTCCCTGTACTTAACATGTTGATTTTGTTTAGATCCAGGTTTTAAATGATGGCACACAATAATAATATTGTGAGGCAAAACATCTGTTGTGTAACCGTTCGTTTTTATGCCTCTACTTTATGTAAAACTGTTGTAGATAAGAGTCTTTTAGGCAAAACGAATGTGTAGTCATTGTGCAAAACGAATGTGTAGTCATTGTTCTTTTGTTGTTGTTTTTTTCTTAAATAATATACATGACCTATAGAAAGCAGATATTGCCCTCTGCGGTCTCAGTATCACAAAGGAGAGAGAAACAGTTGTGGACTTCTCAACTTTTTATATGAACGATCCAGTTAAATTTATAACTCACACTCCAGGACTGAGACCACGAGCTTTTGTTATCGTCAGACCTTTCAGTAAAGAGGTAAGTCATGTCAATAGTATAAAAAAATGTATGTTAATCTTTGTTATCGACTTTCAGTAAAGAGGTAAGTCATGTGAAAAACATGTTTAAAATGTGTTCATATCTCTTAGATTTAGATTTTCTTGATTTTTCTATATTTTCCTTTCATCCACAACCTATCATGTGAATACAAGCCACGTGGTTAAGTACCATAGCTTACTTCTTAAGACCCATTTAAATGCGCATTTTCACAAAAACAGTTATATTCAACATAATTAATTTTAGGTTAACAAAAATATAAAAACAGTAGATTTGTCTTTACCAACATAAGCAGTCTTCATAACTGACCCAGGAGAATTTGCGGCTATTTCTTTTCTGAAAGAATGATGGCCATAAATCCAAAGATATAAAATTTCAAGTACATTATACAGATTAATGGAACATAAGATATACTAAATTTGTGGGTTTTCTTCATTTTTGATATAGAACACATGAAACGTATCTTTTGATATATAAATCGTGTGTATTTATATATATATATGTATTAATGAGTTCAGGTAAGCCAATGTCAGATTATTCTTTATATATATGTTTCATATATATATATCATGAATTTGTTATTTATTTTCTATATATATACTTATAACTCTATACTAGTATAATTTATCCACTGTACTATTAAATTAATGCTTTACTATTGTATTGGGGACTGGAATGCCCACCTCAGGCAGTTTATCTTACTTACCCACAAGTGGTAGTACCTTATTTCGTTTTTCTTTTTTATATATATTATATTTTTCTTCCTTTCTTTTTACTTTGGAGAGCAGACATCTTCCCACAGTTATCAGCAGGCAGTGAAGGGTGATATAGATGTGGGACGTTAGGGTCTTGAGCACCCACATCTGATTCTCCTAAGTTGTATTTATTTTTACAATTTCTTCATGTGAGACTGGCGAACGGAGATTAAGACTGATAGACGATGTATCCCCCACCGCAATGTGGGTCCTACTTCCGCAGTCATCTCCAAAATCCAGAGTACATTTTATATTCCACATTATAGCCTATACCCTGGGGGTCCTTTAAATTTATGCAACATCTTTTATTTAATTTTTTTTGTTTCGGCTTGGTTTTGTTCAATTAAATGTCAGTTATAACAGGTTTGAATTTGCGTATTTAATGCAGTCCTTCCTTTTTGATTATATTTTTCTTGACTGGTTAAGTATTAATTATATATATTTATATATATATGTGTGTGAATTGAATATATATTTGCGAACCAGGTGTGATGGTATAAAACTGCTAATCACTAAAGGTATTTACATCAGTTTGATATTGTTTGTTTAGCACAAAGCTGCACAATGGAATATCTGGACTGCTTCCGCAGCAGGACCGAACCTAGAATTTTACATTCCAGCGGAGTCACTGGAGAGGGGATAATTTTAATTCATGAAATAATAGCATATTCGTAATGATATGTGTATTAAGACTTTCTTTTTATAGAGACACTTCATACGAAAAATTTGATTTAAAACGTAAAAAAAATTATAACATTCTTAGATAAAAAAATTTGGGGAACATGTATATAAAACTAAATACACAAATGTTTAAACCTTGTTACAATGAAAGATTTTGTTGTTTTCTCTGTCAGGTCTGGCTTAGTGTTATTGGTGCCCTCCTTATAGCATCCCTATCTCTTCAAACAATGTTTTTCTTGTCCAATCGATACCATTATGAGAGAGAACAGACAACTTTTAACGCCATCTGGTACCTGGGAGGAACATTAACACAGCAAGGTCAGTATATGAGGTGTATGTAACAAGATAACAATAACATTAGTCTTTTATCCTTCACGAACAATTATTAGCAGTAATAATAAGAGTTAAATAGTGTTTTGAAAAAAAATCAGTAAAATTATATAATCATATTATTCATAAAATCATAAATAATATTCAACGTTACACTGGTACACAATTAAAAATATTTTATTTAGGCCTATCTATGGCCTTCAAAAAGTTGACTACTCTACATGTTTCGACGTTACAACGTCATCCTCAGGAGTGTAACGTCGAAACATGTAGCGTTGTCAACTTTTTGAAGGCCATAGATAGGCCTAAATAAAATGTTTTTAATTGTGTAAGTTTCTTATATGTGGCACGAAATTTTGTTTTTTAAGGTTTTGTGGGATGTAAGCCTAAATACCTCTTGTTTCGTTTTGCAAGAAGGGAGAAAATGATGCATTAACTGTTTTGTTTTGCTAGTAGTTTGTAGTCTCATTTCAAAAACTGTACATTTTGATTTCTAAAGAGTTTCAAACACCCCCCCCTCCAAAAAAAAAACAGTGAAGGAAGTAGCAACTCATCTCTAGCAAAATATTAGTTATATGAGCCCAACAGTTGGTGGTGGGTAGTGTTGACTAGTTGCCATATATTTAGCTTATTACTTCTAAATTAAGGACCCAAAGGAAAAAAAAAGTAATAATTTTTTAACTTTAGATTGTCTTACCATTTAGAACAAGAAAATATCGATGTTTTGACCTGATTCAAAAGTAAAATGTTACATATGCATGTACCAAAGAGATACGTATGTTTTAGTTAACTGTTTTGGAGTCTCATGATATCGTTAGACCTGTCATAGCTTGGTTATTAGGGTGCTTGATTCACAATCTGTGGTTCGCAAGTTCGAATCCCCGTCTCCGAACATGCTCACCCTTTCGGCCATAGGAATGTCATAATATGACTGTTAATCCCGCTATTCGTTAATAAAAGAATAGCTCAAGAGTTGGCGATGGGTGGTGATGACTAGATGTTCCCTTTAATCTATCACTACTTATTTATGGACGGCTATCGCAAATAGCCCTCATGTAGCTTTGCGCGAAAATCAAAATAAACCAAACCACAACATTGTTACTACCCATGTCGCCAAGTCCAGTTATGCGCTTTCTCATGACAGTGCATTTTGGAATTAGCCTTGAACGTAGTTTCCATTGCAAAAAGCTTCATCGTAATGCGTTCATTTACAAAGCGTACCGCTCCTCCCTGTAGCTTTCAATAATCCATCTAATGTATGAGGACAGCAGTTTTCCATTGTCACAAAGAAAGGAAAATTCCCATATAAAAAGTTTATTTTTAGCACAAAGCTATACAATTGGTTACCTTATCTTTGTTCATTGCATGGAATCGAGTGTTTTAAGTCTGTAAACTTACCATTGATCCATCGGGGTGCTTGTATGAAATGGACTAAGTCTGAAGTCAATGTTGGCTTCCCATTTCACTTTCTTTCATTTTATTAGTACTTGACTATCCGAAAGGAAGCCTTGACCATTTTTATATATCTATGGATTCTTGGTTAACGAAATGAATAACGAAAAGAATAAAAGATAATGTTTGTTCATGTATGTGATACAATAAATTAAAACACTAAGCTTATATATACTCAGTCTTTCAATGAAGAATAATCCTATAATATTAAACTTATGTTTGAAAGATAAAAAACACTTTTGAATGATGAATAATACGTTAATATTAATATCTAAATGATGCATAACAAATTTGTATTACATTAAAACTGAATGGATTTGCAAATAATTAGAATAATATCTATAAATTAAATTAGCTAAGCGAAGTGTGATTTGTTTTTGTTGTTTGAGTGGGTTAACTTAATTTAAATGTCATTGAATAGAAGTAAATAAAAACATGTATTTTTTGATAATTTTGTGTAAATTTTTGACTATATAAATAACAAATTATAGTTATCATGTAATAAACTGGTTTCACTGTCTTTACTTTTTCATTCCAGGAAAGAAATAATAATTAAAAGTATTAAATATTTTTTGTAAACTCAATTCATATATTAAAATGTTTTATTTAGAATCAATTATCACAAATAGAAATGTATTCTTTTTTGTACTTGTTAGTGAACAGAATACTTGGAATTAAATTATCATAGCATATATAGCTTATTAATATTGAAATAATTTAATGTCTTCAACACAAATTTGAGTCCTTTTTTAAAGAATCAAAACTAATAATCGCAAACAATCTATCTAAAGTTTAAAAGGATATCAGTACTTTGTATATAATATTTTAAATATTAAACACACCATTCAATGTTAAAGAGCATTAAGCCAGCTTTACATGGAAACTTGTCAAAACAAAGATTGATACGAAAGAGTGGCTATTAATTCATGTCAGTTGTTTATCAATTTTCAAAAGATTTGCAGGGGAGGACCACAAGAGATTCTTGATACGATTTCAGCAAATGCAAGTCTGGAATTAATGGACACTTGAACAAGCTATGCAATATATGCTACTGATCATGAAAGGACCAAAGTTATTTTTTGTGGAACACTAGACTACTCATACCTGGAGGATTGGACACCATAGTAGGAGCATTACAATTACATTTCATCTAACCCTGAACAGAGCTATCTATCGTGAAGAGTTTAAAGCATAGACGAAAGTGGTGATGGAAACCCTGGCCACTTATGGTGGTCTATGTTGTTGGTAGAAGAAGGAATATTCTATTTAACTAGCCCTTAGGAACCTCATATATGAACAACTATGCCATCATATGGGAATGGGGATCAGATTTTCTAATACAGACTGTGTCACAGGACATCACGAATATGATTATGACATCAGTCTACTGGTGAGATGGAGATGGATAACGTTAGCATACCTAATAATTCATTCAGAACTATAAGAGGCTTAAACTGACTCAGGAAAATTCGTTTTAAACTGTGCACAATTTCACAACTATATTCAAGTATCTACTGCAGTTGATGTTGTATGGAGTACAGTGGTAAGGCATTTTGGTATTTATGGATTAAGATTTGTTGATTTTTTTCAGGAAGCTTTGGACAATGAATGAGTGATTTGTTTCAAAGAATGAATAGAAACTTAAATCAAAGAATTGTATTTTTATAAGACTGGAGTAGTACTATCACAAGAGTAGGATGAATTGAAAAGAGCATTGGCACTTAGCAGTTTCCATCTGGCTATAATTTTTATTTAAGTCATAGACAAGAGCAAACACCTTTAACCTTTTTGTTGAAGAGAGGCAAACTGAATGAAGATTTAAAGCAAGTATTTTGCAAAAAGCCCATTGTTACAAAAAAAATCTCAATTGATATATAAATAAATATATATCTATATATTCAATTTATTTGGGTACTTTAAAATGAATTATTTTAGAATGTCTACTAATATTTTACAGGTCATGAAAGACATCCTTCTTTGTGAATTTTTGTTCACTCATAAAATTTTCCTGGGTGACTTCCTGATGGTCTAGTATCCTGATATTATCCTTCATTAGTTATGCTATTTTTCTTCAATTGTAACAAATAATGCTGCAACTTAGTCTCTCTTTTATCATTAAATCATATTACAATTCAACAAGTTTAGTAGAATAATTTAATATGTCACTAGCCTTTCTTAAATATTCACTTCAATCTGAGATAATTATATTATTCCCTTTATCGGATATTGAAATAACGATAATATGGTTTTTAATAAGACATTTTAAAGCTTCAAATTCCTCTTAACCTAAATTTCAAAAATACTTTTTGCTATTATTATAGTTTTTAAGTGCAATAAGGGCTAAACCACTGATTCTAATTCTAATGTCATTGAAAGATTGACGCTATTGCTCCAAATACACTGATGTGGCAATATTTGTAGAAACTTTCAAATTCAAAAAATAATTTTTAAACTTAATTCTATTAGGAATACGACACTGTAAACCACGAGCTAACATCTTTTTTGAATATCATTTAGTACATACTTATAATAGTTAAATATTACTTTATCAGGAATTTCTAAAAATAATTTTTACCTAACTGCTGCCACAAATTACTCAACTTCTCTAACAGTTCGTTTTTAATTTTTACCAACATTTTGTTGTAATAAACTTCAATAAAAGATTTTAAATGTACAAAATCAATAAAATATATTTGATGTATAATTTAATGAACATGGAATATGTCTCTGGAATTATTTTTTGGAATCCAGAAAAGGCAGCACAAGATTAGCCGCTACACTATAGGAGTATATATTTAATTCTGAAAATAGGCCTTAAAGACACCATGATAATACCAATGGCTTATCCTGGTGGACTGCAAGTAAGTGTCTATTTGAACAATTCGTATATCTTTTCATGAAAGAAATGAAGAAAAATAATATTCAGAGAACTACTACAACCATTAAAGCAGTAGAACAATATATGGATGACATTCAAAGACATGAGGAAAGTAGATGCTATATAAACTTTTCGTGGAAATAAGTAATGGTTAGTAATGTCGAACTTAGTGATTAAAATTGCTTGGCTACTGTAGTTAAAAGGAAAGGTCAGCTGTAATTACTATTCATACAGGGTGCTGAGATTTCAAAACACACTATTCAACCAGAAACGATGACATAGTCAGCTTCAAAAAACTCAATTAGTTCACTGGGATCTATAAGTAGGTGATTTCTTCATAACATGGGTAGTCATATTAATGAATTATAATACTAAAATGTTGGTTGATACTTTAAATGAAAACTAAATTACCAACTTGGGTGATTTTTGTGAAATCAACGTTCAAGAGAGAACTATTTTCTGGTGGAGAGTATGTTTTCCGTTGTGTCAGTTTCTTGGGAACCTTATTGTAACATTCCAAGTTTGATAATGAAGAAGAGGTAGATGGTCAAATTTGGAATAGCACAATATTTCCACTCATTAATTAAGACAAAGGTGTGATGGTCACTTGTCTTATTTCGTGATGACAAATCCAGAGAGATAGTAAAATTATATTGGATCTTCACACAATTGGTATTTATACTTCAAGATCAACTTCATACATTAAAATTAACTAAAGGATCTGAATTTTGTTTGCAGGAGTATGTGAAATGGCTCCGTAGGATGGTTAATTGGTCATCCATTCTGTATTCTGCCAAAATACAGAGATGTGATCAACTTATCAAAGCAATGAATTTTCCCTGAGACATGTTTATTGGTTGCACATCATTCTTTGATATTATAATTTTCAAGTAGCAAATGAAATTAGTTGGGATTTTAAGCTGACTCTGTCTACAGAGCTGATGTTTCATTCAGCTAGTCTTCATTAGTTTATAAGAAAATAATTTTAGCATTCATTTTATAAAGCCAACCTAAACACTTGTGTTATCAGAATGACCTACTATAGACACATATGGAAATTTGGTGAAAGTTTTAAGAAAACGTCAAATAATGCTCCTTAATAAACACCAACATATTTTTGAGTATGAAAATCTAGAATTATAATTGTCCATGGCTTGCTACTATTACATACCTACGTCAATCTGATCATTTAAATTTCAATCCCTGAGACGTTTTGGATGACCTCGATTTATCAGAAAAATCAGAATTTGAATTTCAAGATTACAACATATGATTTATGTCACGCATATAAAAGTCCTACAGAATTACATCAATAAATGTACAGACAATACCAATAGCAGCTCAAAGAAACATTAAAAGTAAAATAGGTTATTTAATTCACAATATTTACTACAGGTCATATAAGTTTCCTTGGGTAAAGTCTATAAAGAATAACATTAAAAGTACACCTTAAACCTAGTTTCATCCTTACTAATAGGTGTCTGTGGCTTAACCTTCACTAACACACAAAACACTTTATCATAAGACGTAGGTTACATTTCAACTGCTGCTACTAGTCTAGGAAGATTTGTATGTTTACCTTCATAATAGTTAATTAAAATTCAACAATGCCATTATTATACTAGAATCGTTATCATAAAGGTAAAATTTCAGAACACATACTAATATTGAGCTGTATTTGCTAGAACTAGCTAACAGAAAAGAAATTACTCTTTTATTTTGAGAGCTTATGTATTAAGGTGGTAAGTATACAAAATAAAACATATTAGAAAATACTCAGTTGTAGCGTTAAACTTGGGTCAGATTGAATGTAAAGTCATCTGAGAATTTACACAGCATATAAAACATCAGAGTAATCCAAAGAAAAAAGTGCATCAGCAAATCACAGTAAATTCGAAATTCGAATCACTTATCAGATAGCACCATCTGTTTCCTATGATACAACGTGAGATTACTAGTTAAAAATGGATAGATAATTTATTTTTCTTTGACAGAAAAAACAAGTAAACAAACCTAACAGCTGTTAATGTACAACAACAATGGCCACCGAAAATACATATTACTACAGAAGTCTATTGGCTAAATTTGCAAACATACACCCCAGGATGCAGTCTATGTGTTATTTCAAACTTGTTTTCGACCATATGCAATTACTCACACTTGCCCAAATTAAGGCCTGAAGCTATGAAAGGGAATTGAGTTTTAACATCAAAGTCAAACTCAACCACGTACAGTTAACTAACAATGAAACAGCCAGTAGCTGAAATTGAATATTTGCCTTTGGCTGAAAATTTTGGAAATTGAAAGAGAGTGAAATCGACAAGGCTACAGCAGGTATTCGATGTGACAGTTTAATAATTAATTTAATTTTAATGTTACTAAGTTCAGCTCCATGTTTTCATATGTTAAGCAATTTAGTAATTGTACTTGTTAAGAAATGTTTAAGACCATATTGTGGTTTTGACAATCAGAGGAACTGGGAAGAAAGGTATCACATATTAAATGTGCACATTACATTTTTATAGCAATTGTTGTTACTTGTTAATATTTATGTTCTAATACAAAATAGTTTATGTTACCCCTAAGTAATGAGTGGAACAAATGTATCTATTGATGAAAAGTAGCACACATTTGAGTAGAGAACAATTACATTTTATGGATAGCAATACAGTAAAATATTTCAACATTTTAGGCAATCAAACACAGATAACTAAAATATCATAGCAGGATAGATGGCAGTAAAAAGTAATAACATTTAGTGATAACAGAAAAACATATCTAACGTGCACTGTGAGAAATATTTAGTAGTAAATTGGATTTTGTTGTGAATCAAGAAGGTTGAAAACATAAAAAGATATATTTTGTAAAAAGAAATAATGGAGCAAGAATACCCATGTCCTAGTAACAAGAGAATAGCTATATTGAGGTCTAAAATACAAGTAAGTCGCAAAGACAAATAGAGATAAGTGATGAAGTTTTTACCATGTCCTGTAGTACTTCAGCAGAATATCTCAACTGTTGCTTTGATATCGTAGATCCAAGGCAGTGGTAGATATGGCACTATAAGATTAATGTGGTAAATATATGGTGTTACAGTGCAAAGAAAATATTTGTCAATCCATATTGCACTTGACCAGTGAGAGCAACGGAAGAGTGACTGATCAAAACCTTTTACGTGAGAAAAATACATCCTCATCTAACATGTTCTTCAAAGCTTAAACAAGAATTAAAAACTTAATCGATAAACAAACAAACAAGCTGAGTTTACTTCTTAATCACAATAATTTAATACAAATGTTTCTATAACATATCATATGTTTCATTAATATAAACTAAATGTAATGAAAACAAACTATTAAAATATACTTAGGGAACAAAATAAATGAGAATTTCCTATAGTGTATAGTGTTTATACACAACATCACTAAAAGTAATTGGAAGCACACAACGAGAAAGGAATGGCTATATTTATTTCTTGATGTTTCATATTATTTGGGAATGGGACATTTAGAATTGATGACGAAGGAAATGTTTCTTGCCTCATTCTTTGAAACACAGGTGGTGGAATCGATTCATACTCCACTTCCAGGGAAATATCCAAAAGTAGTTTAGATTGATTCATGTCAGAGCTTTGAGTAGGCAGTTCAAATATTATAAATACTATTTAGCTCATAACACATACTTGCAACCCGTGAAGTGTAGTAAGGTGCATTATTATATTTAAAAAAAT